TTTCTTAAAAAAGGTTCCTCAGATAACTTTGGCCCTGGCTCAGTTCCTCCAAATGTGACACCCGACATGCTGAAAATGGCAAGTGATATGATGGGCAAGATGTCTCCAGAAGAAATGCAAAAGATGTTTACAATGGCATCTTCATTAAAAGAGAAAAGTCCAGTATCAGCTGCAACAACTATTGATTCTAATGGGTCAGGTCAGCAGTCAAAACCTCGTGACACTAGGGAAAATTTTAAAGTGGATGACAGTACAAGTGCAAGCACTTCATCACAAGGGTTTTCTAATTTAAATAATGGTTCTTACTCAAGCCTATCAAGTTCAAATGTTGATTTGCAAGAAGAAATGAGAAACCGAATGAAAGATCCAGCCATGAGACAGGTTTTACTTCAGTCCTTTATTGTGGAAATAGTATTTGTCCTCTGTTCTGTATTTTGATATTTGATGCATATTAGGGGCTTTATTATTTTCTTGGTAATGGTATGTATTTTAGTATTGCCTATACCACTAATAAAGATCCAATTATATTTCCCTAGTGTTCACACTGCTAACTCAAAAAATCCTGAGTTAAATTTGTAAAATACCCTAGTTCCTCCACTAACCAAATCATTATTTCTTACTTTCTCTGTTTTAAGATACCATTCCACTTTGAATTGTCCATATCTGAAAAAGAAACAACAACATACCAGTGTAATTTCACAAGTGGGATCTGGGAAGGTAGAATGTGCGCAGAACCCCTACCTTGGGAGGTAAAGAGGTTATTTCTGATAGACCAACAACATATCAAAGTAGATCGAAAAAGAAATATGGAATTGAATCGTCCATGACAAATAATAAAGGAAGTATGAAAAATGAATAGTAACTACAACTGAATACTAAGATAATTGAAGCACAAAAAACAACAGATAGTAACAGAAATCGAAGAACAATAATCTACAAGAGTAGTACTACTAATACGGGTGTTAGATGAGAAGCTAGACAATGCACAACTACCTATTAACCTTCTAACCTAATTTTTGTCCTCCATAACCTTCTATTTAAGGTCATGTCCTCGGCCAATTGACATTGCATCATGTCCTGTCTAATCACCTCTCCTCAATACTTCTTCAGCCTACCTTTACCCTTCCTAAAACCCACCAAAGCTATCTTCTCACGCCTCAACACCAGGGCGTCTGTGCTTCTTCTCTTCACATGCCTGAACCATCTCAACATTTCTTCCCTACAATATATTTGTTTACTTTAGATGAACACCAAATCCCAAACTGAATGCTACCATCACATTTATGGAACTACCTGGCAAACAGATTGACTGGCTCTCTCAGGGTGTTCTCCTCCATTAGCTCTTGTTGCTCCAATAATGCAAGTACGCTTGCAAGGATGATTGAAATTTGAACCGGAAGCAAGCGCCGTAGCCATAGATGCCCGTCCTCAAATAATAAATACAAGCAGCCTTGTCTGGTCGTATATGATTGAATTGCCACATAGAAATCTTGATTGAACGTCCATATCTTTCTATTTTCCTCTATTTCCGGGTAGAAATAAATGCATACATTGGACTTTGATGTCTTACTGGTTTAGATATACGATGAGATGATCATCAACTAAGTTGCTCGGACTCTTCACTTTTGGTGCCGCACCCGTGTTGACACGACATGGGTGTGGGTGTGAGATCCGTGTCTGATTTGGTCACTGATTTTGGGTACTTTGACCAACATCGATGGGGTAGTCTGGACAGTTTGAATGAGTTATGTAATCAATACAAAAGCTAAGGTGAAATGAAGAAAATGACATACCTTTTATATAGAAATTTCTATGTCACTCCTTTTCCTTTAATCTCCTTCAAGGATTCTCCTCAAGTTCTCCACATAATATCTCATAATGTATTAGCTTCAAAAAATAATATCTCATAATGTATTTATAACTCTATTTTTAGATATTTTAATTATTTTTAGGCGAATCCCCGCACCCATTTTCATATATGGATCCATATCCCGGAATCTTAAAAATTAAGTCATGAATGATCCAACCTCTAGATCCGCACCCATATTGGACACCCACACCCGAGTCTGAGCAACTTAGATCATCAAAGTTAGGGAATCTCAACTGGAATACCTCACTGCTCCAGTACCGGTTGTGAGCCACATTCAGCGAAGAGTTTCTGTTCTTTGTCCCCTAAATGCATTATAAATTGTGAGGAAAATAAAAATAATAAGTGGAATTCTATAGGTTTAGCTAAAGACGATTTCGGAAATTAGAAACTTATTCCTTTTTGTTTGGGGCGAGCTCACTACATTGTCTCATTGAGTAGTGTTCCCTTATAGAGGAAAGAGAGATGGATGAGTAAAAAAATATGTAAAAAAGCACATACATTGATGACACCATGAGTCGAGTGATGAAAGATCTTCACGATATGTGCTGTAAGCATATTAGCTAATTACCCTGTTTTGGATCCTATTCAGTCAGCAATCCTCTCTTGTTTTATTTCTTGTATGTTCTTTTTCTAGAATAATTGCCTCGTGTTGTGAACTTCCCGATAAAACTGTCTACTTTTCTAATAATTACCAATATGGGGGGTTAAACTTCTCTGTCCTTTGTATTTATTCGCTTACAAGCTTTTACAGAGGCTCTGCCTTCAATTACTACTGTGTTATACGTGCCTATACCTGCTTTATGCTGATGTATCTGGGTTCTCATTGATTTACTCCTTGACACGTGGTTTCATCAAATTGACAGATGTTCTCTTCAATGATTAAAAATATGAGTCCAGAGATGATGTCTAACATGAGTGAACAATTTGGGGTGAAGCTCAGTCAGGCAGATGCAGAGAAAGCTCAACAGGCAATGTCATCTTTGTCACCAGATGACTTGGAAAAGATGGTAATTAATCAAAATGTCCTATCCCCCTTTTCTCTGTTTCTCTTTAAAGAAGATGTGTACTTTCCTCATTAAGTTGTTTTGTATCATTGTGATTCACGTGATTGGCACTTGTAATGCGCCTTCACTTAGAACCAATACTTATTTTCCCAATTAATGAAAAACCTGTAATCTCTCGTGTCTGGTCCAAAAAAACTAAATGGTCATTGAGCCTTGAGAAGTCATAGGAGAAAGATCAAGATCTTATCACTTTAAAGGGGAGCACATAGGAGTGAAGTGGCGCTTTGTCTTTTCAACTTTATAGTGGGTGTACATTTTTATCCTCTCTAGATGGGAATGTGTCGAGCATCATGCTTTGGATTATGAGGTTTTGTCGTAATTTGGCATTTGCAAATTGGATTCTTTAATGAAATAAACATTGGCTGTTATAGCTAAGTTCCAAACATTTGCTATAGCCATGGTGATGTTTAATTCTAACACGTCTTCTAGCGTCTTGTTACAATAGAAATAGAATATGTAACCACGAGAACCACTTGAGCAGTAGGGCTTGAGCTCTTGAGAAATTTCTATCACCTAATTATTTTCTGGGTTTTGTAATTATTTAGTTTCCAGGTAGTTGGAATCATCTCTTTGTTTTAAGTTTGTGCTAAACCTCATAATTTAACCATCTTTTCTTACCTTTGTCTTGTGCATTATACACTTCACTGTTACACAAGGTAAATCTATATTTTTTCCGAATATTGCAGATGAAGTGGGCTGATAGAATTCAAAGAGGAGTTGAAGGTGCGAAGAAGACAAAAAATTGGCTCTTAGGAAAACCTGGCATGATCTTGGCTATACTTGTGCTACTTTTAGCAGTCATCCTTCACAAGCTGGGCTTCATCGGGAGCTAGACTTGACATGGTAGCCAAATATTAGCATAAAGAGTTGAGTAGAGTTTGGAATCCTTGTTGTAATGTTACTTGAAATAGGGATATCAGTGGGTAAACCGTTGGTTGAAGATGACACCAGTTACTTTCGTTATATTACGTTTTTTTTCTTTCTTTATTTGGGTGTTTGTAGATGTATCTGCAACTTGACGAATTATTTAGTTCGTTGTTTCGCGGTAGAACCCACCGTTTCTAGATGAAGTTTTGGTAAGACTTTACCCTTTACAAATTCAGAAATCATGAACTTACTGACTGAGGTATAATTCATATTACAAAAAATTAGTAGTTCCTTTTTTTGTCTGTGATTTTTATTTGTCCTGTCTGGTGAAATGTTCCCAACATTTTTAGTAACTTAAAACAAATATAGAATATGGACATTTGTAAATGTAGTGAACTAATAATGGCAACTGCATTAGTACGGCCATTCTATTTGTCTTTGTTCGAGTGTTAAAGAGTATATAACCGACAATTTACATGTTGAAATAAGCATATGATCGAATCTTGATATAAAGCAGCTCATGTAAGGTTAAAAAAAAAAAAAGAACTACTCAATGTGGTGATAAGAATGACAAGGAAATTCACCTGCTAAATCTCACAGAGTAGGAGTTAGGAGGATCAATATAATCCGTGTAATTTCACAAATAACAATCTTCTAGTGTAGGTAGATCTCATCTTTAAAAATAGTACTCCCTCTATTCCATTTTATGTGAGGTAATTTAACTTAGATACGAAATTTAAGAAAAACTTAAGACTTTTAAAACTTGTGATCCAAAATGAATGATAGAAATTTGTGTGGCTGTAAATCATTTCATCAAGGGTAAAATAGATATTTTATGGTTAAATTGTTATTTAATATATAAATGTGTCATTCTTTTTGGAACGGACTAAAAAAGAAAGTTAGTCACATAAATTGAAACAGAGGGAGTATTTTTGATAGATTCTCGGTTTGAAACGGTCACATTCATCTTACTTGCAGCAATAAGCAAATAAAGAAATAAAATATATACAAATGTAGCATTGTGAAGGTCACATGGACCAAGTCTCATAACTTCTCTTAAAAGAGAGATTTTTTTATAATAAGAGAGAAAAAATCAACGGCGTGTCCATGTAATAATCGTGTTCGATGAAATTTTACTCTACCCAACTTTTTTTTTGGGCAAAATACACAATATACAAATCCGTTAATCTTCAATTTCTGTGTCTTTCACCATTTTTTTCTTCTTAATTATAATTATAATTGCATTTTAAGTCCTTACTTATTTTGATTATGCCATGTTAAGTCCTCCTCTCTCTGAGATAGGGTCCTCCAAAACCCAGCTCCATAGAACCGGTCCCACATCTCCGTTTCAAAATCGGCGGCTTCTCGTACTCCGTCGTCGTCTTCACCGTCAAATTTCTCCCGATCGCCGTCGTCTTCATCGTAGGTACCAAGGTAAACATTTTTATTATTCTTCATCGATTTCCATGAATCCTCCTCTTTCTTCTTCTTCCTCAAAAGCCTCTCCCGCTTCTTCTTCCTCCATATATTCCGGCATAGTCCCGTCGGGACTTTGTACACCGCCAGTACCAATAAATGCATCACCGTACATGGACAACAACAGCATACCATCGCACACTCCGCCGCTGTGCCCCCGGCTACCTCCCCTATCCGTTTATGAGTGCTGCAACTCCGTTTCTCCTTTTCCTCCTCCTTCATTGTCTCCAATTTCACGAAATTACTCGTCGGAGATTAAACAATTCACAGTCAGTTATCGTAACTGCAACAGATAATCATGAAACTCAAATCAAACTTTTCGGAAATGAATTCGGGCTTTTATAAAAGACAAAATCTGTTCAGTCAAGTGAACTTAGAAAATCATCGATTTTACGGAAACTGAAAAAAATCTAGCTAGAGACGTAAGATAGTGGGAGAGGCTATTTATACTTGAAAGAAACAGACCGTGTGTAGATTTAGCTTCTTCTTTTTTTCACGTTTATTAAAAATAAAATAATAAATGGAGTATAAAATGTAATTTATTTAATCATTTTAGTATATATCTTCCTTTTATTTTCTTCGATATATCTTCCTTTAGTGATAAAATTGGTATTTTTTTGGATATAACAAAAATGATATATTTTTTTATTGGTGTCTCACTCGATGTTTAATACGTATCATATTAGGATTAGACTAAATTCAAATTATTGTTCAATTATTGCTGTGTTTTTCTGCATAATTTTATTTATGAAATAGGAGTGGAAGAAAGAGACAAGTGATGCCGCGTCAGCATACATAGGGAATGGACACATTCAAAACACGGCTCTGATTCATATTTCGGCTGAATTTATGATATCCATTCCTCTCCTTTGACTGTCCAATTGCAATTTTCTTTTATTTTTCATACTTACTCCTTCTCATATTATTTATCTCAATGTGTTATTTTCGTTTTCTAAAAGTTAAATTTGATCAAAAATTTATTTATGAAATATTCAATCATTTTGAAATAAAATTTTATATTTGTAAACTATGTAAAAGACACTATAAGTTCAATAACTAAATTCAAAATAATTACTCATACCGTTTATCTTTACTTATCCATTATATTTTTTTGAGATATCCAACAATACTTGTCCAGTTTATAAAATTAATGAATAATTAACTATTTTGTGTCTATTTTACCATTGTTATTAAATATTCCATCCATCTCAATTTATGTGTTATATTTTGTATCTCGAGATTCAAATAAATCTAACTTTGATCGTAAATTTTTCATATAACTTTTAAATATTTGAGAGTGTCAATTATTGTGACTTATAGTACCCTTTGCAGAATTTACAAATATATGAATTTCATTTTTTTTAAAATGAAGATTTCATAGACAAATTTTCGGTCAAACTTAAACTTTTTGACTCTCGAAAAATAACATTATGGACCAACTATTTATAGAAAAGAATTACATATAAAAAGGGACGGAGGGAGTAACTAATAGGGGTGATTTGATAAAGTTATCTCTATCATTTATTGCTTCTTAATTTGTATGTCAAGTCAATAGTTGACAACTATTGTTGGACAAATGAAGTAAAAGATGTATAAAAAATTTACGGATATAAATTTATTTGAATCTCGAAATCCAAAAATGCCAAATAAGTTGGGACGAAGGCAATATTAATTAGAATATTATTAAAAATATTTATTGCATAATATTTTTCCCATTCATTTTTATTTGTTTATTATTTTACAATATATTTATTTTTACTATCATATTTAATATTTTTTTATATATTTTATCTTTTAACATTAATTAGTTAGATGTGTCAAGTCGAATGACAAATATAAATGAATGAAATAAGTATTTATTATTAATTTATAACATTTAAATATAATTAATTAACTTTTTAATATTATTTTAAAAAATAAGTATTTTATAGAGTAAATAGTTCATTTTGCTTGTTCGCTTTGATAGCCAAGCATCAGGCAATACTTTGATTTTTTAATTTGATGTTAAGAAAATTCACTTCTTGATACAAGATTTGTTGTCTTAAATCTTTTTTTAAATACCTAAATTTTGATATTCGAAATTGGGCCACTTGTGTTTTCTCCAATTTATACATATATTTTATAGCACATCTTAATATTCAAATTTACAAAATTTAACACTAATCTTAATAGAAAATAAAATAGAGCTAAAATATAAATATGAGTTTTACAAACTTCTAAAAGATTTTCAGCTTAAAATATTTATTTATATTCAATTATATATAGTAGGAGGGGTAAGTGAACTAAAGCCACATGTTGAGAAATAAAGCTCAGTTTGATTCATCACGCCAAAAAAGTACTTAATAAATATTAAAGAAAATAAGAAAAAGAAAGTATAAATAAATATATTTCTATTATAAAAAATAAATGATACATAATCAAAGGGAAAGTTCAAAGTCTTCCTCGCTTTTCCTTTCTGTGGCTACCTCTCAAAAAACCCAAATTCATCTGATCAATTTTTTGTTTGATCCTCCCTATTAGTTGAAGCTTCTTTGAGGTAAATCTTTGTTTTGTTAAGTTGATCAATTTTAATTTAATGGGTGTTTGAAATTTAGCTCTTTTTACTAATTGGAGTACTGGGTTCTTGTTTTCTTTTCCCTTTCCCCCCTTTTCTAGTTCAGATGATTGAATTTGCGTTTCTCTGATGTGGGTTACTTTTTTTTTTTGGAAAGGGATAATTAAATGAAGATTTTGATATTTGATATATGTTGATTATTTTAATTTTAAGATGGTGTTAGATTGTGTGGTGATATTTGGGGGTGGGGTGGGGTGGGGTGGCTCTTCTTAGTACTGGTGATGAGTTTGAGATGTTATTCTATAAATTTTGTTTGATAAAAATGGAATCTTGGGGTTTTTCTCTGAGATGTTGTTGGAAGTGTATTAATCAGTTATGAATTTTTAATCCAAGATAAAAAAAATTGGAAATCGATACGCGTTAGACGGGAAAGAAACTTAACTCTAGTGAGACATTGTATTGTCTCTATGTAGCATTTGATTTTCACCTGCAATGAAGTGGTCATATTACCAGTGTAAGTAAAAGCAGACAATTTGGTGTTGAGGGTTTTCTTTAGATTTTCTAACTTTGCATATGGGATTAGAAGTTAGAATGCTTGTTGTTTTCTTGGTTTCTTTATTAAAGTAGAGTAATGTTTGAAAGGTTTTATCTTTCGACAGATGGAGGAGGGCAAGATGTCTGAGGATATTTTGACTTCGGCTGCGGCATTTGTGGAAGGTGGAATTCAGGATGCCTGCCATGATGCTTGCAGCATATGTCTTGAAGAATTTTCTGATAGTGATCCTTCCACAGTATGTATTCTTCACATTATCCGGTATTAACGTGAACAGTAGTGCTTCATCATGGAGTAATATTATCTTTCAACTTGCAGGTGACAGGCTGCAAGCATGAGTTCCATCTTCAATGTATTCTAGAATGGTGAGTGAAACCGTTCTCTATTAATTAGATGTCTCATGTCTTAACTGTTCTTTCACTTATCTTTCTGATGCATAACACCTTTTATGACTTCCCCAAAAGATGACATTTTGTGGATTTTGATGGCTGCCTTAGGGCCTTTGTTCCTCTAATGCCGTAAAGATGAGTTTAAGGCTTTCTTGTGTAAAATTAGGATTCTCCATGGAGTGCCTCTGGTGGGAACATATAAGCTAGATAGGGCCTTTGGATTTTCCCTTTGTATCTGATATATTACTCTGTTGCCCAACTTTTGGATTCCATGGTTTTGTTGGAGGATTATGTGCTCCTATTGAACAGTTTGCTTGAAGATGTAAGAGAAAGGTGGTCATTTTGATTTCAGCATTATGATTCTTTCTGATAAGTAACACACCCATAAATACATAGTGCTTGATGTTGCTCAGTGATTGTGATTGTAGTGGAACGTAGTCGTAATTGATGACTCAGAAAAGGGTGTGACATCCGTAGTTTCTTCCATGATTTTTGGTGTTTCATCTCATCTGATCTTTTTACCGACTGCCCAGTCAGCAGGAGGAGGGGTTGTTCTTACTGTTGGTTTCTTGCTGTTTCTGTCTGGAATAGTAAAAGAGTGAACAACATAATGAAAAGTCACTTCTTGAATCACCAAAATCTTCTATTACCATTGAATCTGTTTGGAAGGTTAAATGCAAGTTGTGTTAATTGATTGAATCATGATTAAATTTGCTATTTTGTTATTAAAATTAGATAAAGACAACATTGGAGCATTTGATTTCGTACTTCTTATTTGGAACAAAGTTGTGTTCTTTAGAAATTGTCATGGAAGATAATCATTTGAAAGATTATGAGCTTTGGATCTTGATTGTATGTGCTGCAAACTGTGTCAAAAAGGCATGCATAGAGCTTTATTTCATAGCGAATATCCTGATAATTTTGAATGCATGTGTTGTAGGTGTCAAAGGAGCTCCCAGTGCCCCATGTGTTGGCAACCTCTCAGCTTGAAAGACCCTAACAGGTTCTATTTTATTCTCAAATCAGCCACTTGCTTATCACTCCATGATCTTCCTAAGTCCTCCTTCAAAGGCTTATTGATAAATGTGCTTCTCTTTCAGCCAGGAATTGTTGGATGCAGTAGAGCACGAGAGGAACATCAGGATGAATCCTCCTAGAAACACCACAATTTTCCACCATCCAACTTTAGGAGATTTTGAGTTGCAGCATGTTAGCATTTTTTAAGTCAACACAATTTTTTCTTCTTATAAGCTGTTTATGGTCCATTTTGTGACAAAATCTTGTGGCACATTTCTTTCACAGTTGCCGGTAAGCGCAACTGACTCTGAGCTTGAAGAGCGTATCATTCAGCACTTAGCTGCTGCCGCTGCCATGGGAAGGGCACGCCACATTGCTAGAAGGGAAGGTCAGCGAGGTAGGTCCTCAGCTCAAGGTCGTCCCCAGTATCTGGTGTTTTCAACTCATCCAAATGCTCCTGCTGCTGCTGCTGTTCCTGCTTCATCTTCTAACCAGAGGAGTGGGGGTGAACCCACTCCTGAAGTCTCGGTTTCTGGTCAGGATTCCCAGATTATTGCTGTTGGAGAAGGTTCGGGACAACTACTTTCTCAACCTCCTTCTTTTCAAGCTGATGAGGTTTCTGCCTCTGGGTCAGGATCAAATGCTGCTGTTAATCAACTTGGAACTTTGTCACATAATAGGTAATTTTGTTTGTCAGATTTGTCCAGAGTTTTGATGGCTTCCTCTTTTATTTTGCCGTAGATGAGTTACATATTATAGTCATGGGACTGGATCCTCCAAAATGGAATGAGTTCGTAATTACTACCACAAGAAAGCCACCACCCTCACCCTTATGAGTTGGGGCACAACATAAAGGCCTTCTCGTGTATGTTTCCCCTTTTTGATGGCTATCTTATGCCTCTTA